GCGAGACAGTTAACCACAGAGAAAGGCAAGATCAATCCGGGGCTACCCCCAAAAATGAAGACTCAAGGAGGCTGGATCTTTTTGGATGTAAGGTTTATTCGTCTTCCATCCTGCAATTGAGAGTGGCCAATCACCACGCCCTCCTTGGCTGCTATGATTACAACATGTGGCAGGCCATGGCCAAGTTAGAGGCTTCTCTCCCTGAAGGCTCCAGGAAGGAATTCCGGGCGATCTCGAGAAGGGCACAACGGCGGCCAGAGCGGCCCTCCAGGGGGCTTCAGACATGGTGGACTCTGCACCATGGCTTCCGCTATTTCCATGCAGCGAGCTTCATGGCTGCTCTTCTTGGGCTTGTCCACCGAGGCTCAGCAGTCAATGCAGGACCTTTCCTTTGACGGCCAGGCCCTATTTGCAAAACAGACTGATGCCAAGCTGCATGAGTTAAAGGACTCCCGTACCACCCCAGCATTTTCAGCGTGGTACGGGAGTCCTTTAACCTATGCAGCTTGGTATGTCCCAGGCCTGGCACGTAAGCGGTTCAAACCGCAGCAGCCTCAGGGACAAGGGAACCAACCGTGGCATGATCTGCCCTACAAGAAAGCCAAGGGCTACAAGCGCCACCCACCTCCACCCCCTGCTCTGTCAGGCTCCACCTGGAATAAGCGACCGTTTTGAGGGTGCGCCCGAGGGTGACCCACCAGACTATTCCCTGGATCCATCTTCTCTGTTTTTTTCCACCTGCCTTTCTTTTTTCCTCCCTGCATGGACTGCGATAACCTCAGACCGTTGGGTCCTGAACACAGTGGTGCAGGGCTGTACCCTCCAGTTTCTTTCTACCCTTCTTTCTGCCCCCCCCTTCCCCATCCCTCTTCAGGGACCCTTCTCATGAGAGTCACCTTGCTCAGGAGGTTCAAGGGTTGCTGCAGCTGGGGGCAGTAGAGGAAGTTCCTCTAGAATACAGGATCAGGGGGTTTTATTCCCAATACTTTTTAATCCCTAAGGCGATCTACATCCCATTCTGGACCTGCAAGACCTCAACAAGTGCCTAAATAAGCTGAAGTTCCGCATGGTCTCCCTGGCCCCCATCATCCCCTCCCTGAATCAGACACGTGCCCATTGTCACAAAGGCAGTCTGGGGAGGGAATTGAACCCAGGTCTAGACCTAGGTTAGCATTTTAACCACTGGGCCATCGTTGCTGACTACAAATCAAGTGCCTTTGACATCAACAACAGGGTGAAACAGGGGTGTGTCCTAACCTCTGTGTTCTTTAACTTCTACTTTGCATTCCTGCTCTCTCATGCATTTAAGGACAGCAATGATGGCATTGATCTTCGAACCACACTAGACGGAGGCTTGTTCAACATAGCAAGAATTAGAGTGAAAGCCAAGGGGAAAGAGCTGGTTCTGAGAGATTTCCTGTTTGCGAATGAGGCAGCTTTGGTTGCCCACAGTGACTCTTCCCTGCAAAATCTCTTGGGTAGATTTTGAGTGTCATTCAAGAGCTTCGGATTGACAATTAGTTTCAAGATTTTTATTTTTTTAAAATTTTTCAATTTTAATGTTTTAGCACACATTTATGCTTTTTTGAGGGAGAGGTTCCCACATCTAATCCCTTTCCTTTGTCACCAGAACCTTCACTTTCAGCAGTTGCATCTTTTCTGTCCTTTTCCTGCTTAGGTTATTCCAAAGATCCCAGGCTTTAAAACCTGCTATACCTGCCACAGGTCTTTTCCCTTCAGTGACAGTCATTCCGTTGTGTCTGCTGTTCTGGAGAGTCCTGCATCCTTTGGTCACGGTTTCTCTGACTGTGCCAGTGCCTTCAGCGTTGTTGAGTGAGGACCATGGGTCAGCTTCAGAAGTGAACCTTTCCACGAGGAAGAGACCCCACTCCGTGGTGAGAGACTCCAAAAGAACAGAAAAGTCACCTTCAAGGCCAGGACTTAAGGAGAGCTCGCATCTGGGTCAGCGAGGCCCTTTATGCTAGCCCTATGGACGTGCAGCACCAGATGGTGCCAGGGCCAACCCGATGGATACCGCTAAGGGAAAAATTTCCGGCGACTGTACTTGGGGCTTGCACACACCTACAATGGAATGGACATGTGCAAGCATGTGAAGAACTTGTCATGAATAGGTCCATGATTGGTCGAGCCCATCTGGAAAAGGTCTGAACCAACTGCTTCTTCAGGGACCACTCATGCATCTAGAAGGCATCTCTCCTGGGGCGATCTGCAACCACATTGTTTTCCCCTGCCAAATGTATTGCTACAGGGTAAATGTTGTGGCGGATCCACCAATCCCATTTCTTTATTGCCTCCGCATACAAAAAGGCGGAGGGAGCAACCTCTTGTTTGTTTATATAATACATTGCTAATTTATTGTCTGTTACTACCTGCACAGTCTTCCCTTGCAAATGAAGAAGGAACGATCTGTGGGCCAGGTGAACAGCTCTTAATTCCAGTACATTGCTGTGCAGTGTTCTTTCTTGAGAAGACCAATGTCCTTAAACCATTAAGTTGTCCAAGTGTGCTCCCTAATCCTTTGTTGATACATCTGAAGTCACTGTCCAGCATGGACCTGGAGGAGTGAACTGCACACCTTTGAGCATATTGGTCCTGTTTGACCACCAGTGTAGAGAGGCTGTAATTTTCTGGGACATAGTGAGACCCAACTGAAGACTGTCCAAATTTGGACAGTAGACAGGGATGTCCAGTGTTGCAAAGGTATCATTGTCAGAGGGGCAAATGAAGTCATGTAGATAGTGGCTGCTACAAACCCCTTTGAGATCCAGGAAGAACTTTATCATCAGTGTGGGGCAACTTTGGATCTTCATAGGCATTGCTCCATTTTGAGAATCTTTCTTCCGGCAGAAGGGCTCTCCGTGCTGTTGAGTCCAATATGGGACGTACAAAGGGGATCCTTTGAATAGGACAAAAGACCGATTTGGAAAGCTGAGGAAAAATCCTAGACCTGATAAGAAGTTGGTTATGGCTACAAACACTGTAGAAAGCTTTCTGTTCAAGTAAGATCAGGTCTTCAGTGGTCAAGAAATGTGTGCTTCCATCAGAAGACCAAGATCCATTGCAATATGACTGTTGATGATATGGAACTTCCTATTAATCTGTGAAGTTCCCTGTTTGTTCCTTCTGAGTACTCAGACCTTGCCTACACACAAAATTTACACCAGTTTAGTGAAATCAGTGCAAACCCTGTGTGGACACTCTTATTTTGGTACAAGAGTGACTTATTTCAGTTTAGCTTAAATTTGTTCCTAATTGACTTAAAGGTAAACAAAAATAAAGCTGGTTTAAAACAAAATAAAAGTGCCTGCACAGTCTTTTGCACCAGTTTAAGTAATTGGTTTAAAATAACACCTTTACTTAAACTGGTGCAGCTCTATATGCAAACAAGTTTGTAAAAACGGTAAACAGAGGACAATCCTCCTTGCCCTTTGGTGGCCTCCCTGATCCTGGTGTCCAGTATCTCATCCCTACTCAGCAGTAGTAGAAATTTCCATTTGCCAATTGTAAAATCCAGTGTCACAAGGCCAGTGGTATATGACAGCTTAAAATCCTGTCTAAGAATCCGTCGTCTTAATTCAATTTTAGATTTTCTGCCATGTTCAAGATGCAGCAGTTAAGGTTATGCTGGGTAACACTGATGGTTTGCCATTTGACAGTGCGATTTCTTTTGTGGTTAAGATTTTCTTTTAAAGTTCAGTGTGGCTGCTGACTGACAGACAGAACCTGAAGCAGATTGAGGGATCAGAGTTGCAAAATACAATTTTTAGTTAAGAAATTGCCTGGTTCCTGTATTTTTAAAATGATTTCTGACTTCATCAAGTTTTCCAGTAAATCAGATAAAGATTACTTTACCATTTTACCTTTTCACTCATAGAAGAGTTGAGTGATATTGCAAGTTGGTTGAAATATTTTTTGAATGCTCAAATATTACTATATGAGTAATCTATCATTTCTGTTAAGTGTATTCATAATGACCATTTTTATTTAATAATCTGTACAGATTATCTATAGCTTCAGCTGTCCCTACAGTAAAGCCACTTTGAATCTTTCTGTATTAATTAAATCAAATCCATCTCTTATTTCTATAGGTTTATGTGCGGTTAAGGCCGTTCTTCAGAGAATTCCTGGAACGTATGTCTCAGATTTATGAGGTAATAATACTTCGATATTTCCCTGAAATTTCTTTTTATATTATATATACTCATTTATATGATGCTAAATAATGCAGTAATGATGCAACTTTTTCCTCCTCTAATTTATAGATCATTCTTTTTACTGCTTCTAAGAAGGTGTATGCAGACAAGTTACTGAACATACTAGACCCTAAAAAGCAACTGGTCAGGTAAACTTGATTAAAAACTCATGTAAATATCTAATGTTAGGCTAACCAATTTATTTTTCACAAAATTATAATTAAGAAATCAATCATTACACATTAACTTCTTTGTTGTAGTGTGCCTCACTAAATTGACCAAGCGTGTATGCATGAAGGGGGGAAATGAGAGGTAGAAAGGTAATTGAATTATTGTACAAGGGATAAAGACATAAACCCTAATCATTGTTGTACTCCATTCTGACGCTTAAAGCATATGTGTCCCTTGATCCATCATAACATATTTGAGAGTTACTCATTACAAATGTAATTCTTCTAGTACCTGTTTCTCTGCTACATCATCAATATTTGACTGATTTTTAAGTGTATATCAAGAAAACAAATAGTTTGACAGAAAATAATTCATTATTTGATGAGTTTTTAAAATGAACTACTTTTTAAAGGACAATTCATAAAATTAATTTTAAATCTGTTATTTGCAGGATCAAAATATTTGCATCTTTCATTCAAGCATGAAATGATTTGTTGATGATTCTGGTAACAGTTATTTAGCCTTGTTCATTTCCTAGTCTTTTACCTGAACCCTGGGCTATGATGTAGGAGAGTGTCTTGCATTGCTCAAGAACAGTTCCTCAAGATTTTTAAGGAAATGTTGGTGGAGGGATTTGCATAGTGATCCTCATCTGGAAGGATGATAGACTTTTTGGATGGGAAAGTTAAAGCAGAAAAAAAGGGGAAATCCTCAGGGATCCATTCAAAATGTGATATCCTTATTAAGGGGAATAAATAATTTCCACCTTCTCTGATTAGGGAATGCAAGATACTATGCCCAAGAGCTCATTTGTAAACTTCTCATTTGCATCATGTTAGCTCAGAAAACAGGGTGAAATCCCAGCTCCATGGAAGTATATTGAAAAATTCCCATTGACTTCAGTGAGATCAGGATTTCTCCTGTTGTTTTTAAAGTACAGGACGCCAATCATAATTTACTTTAAGGCTTTAAAGATATATTGTCAACTTATTTTAATCCAAATATTTTATACTTTCTAAAACTTCAGTATTCTAGAAGCATTTCACCTAATAGATATTTTTCTGTAAATACTAAGCACTCTGGGGCAGGGACTGTCTTTTTATTACTTGTATGTACAGCACACCAGAGCCCTTGTCGATGATTGAGACACTTACATGCTATAGTCAGACACATAATAATAATGTTTTGCAGTGTATAGATTCTGCACCCAAGCTAACGCTATATTTAGGCCTGGCAGAATTTGATGTTTATTTTTTTCATAATTTTGGCAGATATCTGTTTATTTTTAGGCATTTTTTTCTTTAATTTTTATTGATTTAAGTTTTCACGGTTGCAGGAGATTAGGGGAAAGTCAGATAATAGGGGTCTCAGACAGTAATTTAATGATCGATATTAAGATTCAAAAAGTTAAAGCTTTATAACGGTTAAAACACTAATTGTCAACATCCCATGTCAAAATATACAAAATAAATATCCTCAAGTCAAACTCTAATAAGTTCTCAAGCAGCATTTTCCTTACTTTGCCTATCTACATTTTGATTATTATCAATGCCCATTTTTGTTGTTGGTTTGTGTGTGTATGATGAAATCAACATTTACAGACATTTACTGATAAAAATCTAATCCTGACAACTCTAGCCATATGCTAGCCTAGCTCTAGGAATTATTTTAGGGAAGTTGTACGGCCAGTGTTGTACAGAAAGTCAGACTGAGTGATCACAATGGGCCATTCTGGCCGTGAAATCTATGAGTTTCTATTTAAGGACTATAAATACAGAACTACTTTTTATCTATTTATGGAATCTAAACTGGGTGTGTTTCAGTTAAATAGATCTTCAGTATTGGTGTGTGGAATCTGGACATATTTCGTGTACCTTTAAAAAGTTGTTTATTCACAGATTCACCACTATTATATTCATCTTGCCAGTGTCCTCCTTAACATGCAGTAATAATATTCTTTTAGATTATTTTTAGGAAACCTAAACAAATGTTTTTAGATGCATTTTATCTCATTTAGTCAGCATTATAAATTTGTTTTTGATTAAAGTCTTTAAATATAATCAAATATGAATAATATAAAAAGGAATTATAAGTACTGAAGGAATCTATCCCATTAATGTGTGGGAGGTTACATGGCTATCTCATTCTTAATGGGAGTAACTTATGTAACACTTCACAAGTCTCTCTGAAAAAGTCTTTTACAGCTCTAATTTTTATGACTCAGAATGCAATTTTAAACGTATTGGGACAGGATGGAGATAATGAAATGGGGTGGTGCATCTGAACTATCTTCTAAGAATTTGAACTGGATCCACACTTGTGATTCATGTGCCACTGAAAAGCTGACATCAAGGCATGATTAGTTTTGACTTTAGCCTAAAGGTAAACTTGTCAGGCATGCCACACACCTGACTCAGAACCTACATATCAAATTGTTTGTCACTGAGCCATCAGCTTATTTATAGTAACAGTGGGCGCTCCACCCCTTTGTGAAATTAAACATTTCAGATACAACTTTGTTTTTTTAATTTTGTTTGATCAGATTTCCTAAATTGTTGAACAGCCTTAGAGAGATTGTCATAATAAGAAAATGTAAAGCTTAGAAAGAGGCATTTACATTGTAATATGATTTTAATGTAACCTATATTTGAAAGTCAGTTTATTCTATAGTTAAGGTGATGAAGCTTCAGTTGTATTTTTAATACTACTTTAAACAACCTGAATCCTTGTACACTATCCAAACATTTCTAATTTATTATACAGCCTCTCTCTGTTGAATTAAATGGGAGCAGGGTAATTGGAGGAAAAAAGCAGTTGATGGACTGTTTTGGCCTTGAGGCTTTTCTTAAGATATTGTAACTGAAATAGATTAATTGCCAACACAGGTAACAGTCCACAGAAAACATTCCTTCTAGTATTTTCTATTCTGGCAGGTACAGGGATAGGGAGGCTCTGTTCTCTACTGGTTAGAGCAAAGGAAGCCAGGGTTCCATTGAGGGGCTAACCCCTGACATACGGTATGACCTTGGGAAGTCGCTTGAGGTCCTTGTATGCCTCTGTCAACTCATCTGGAAAACTGGTTAAAAATCAGGACCTCACTGACAGTCAGATACTGCATCTTAACTGTTGTGGGTAAATGAATTACCAAAAAAAGTACAGAATTGCATTAATCCCTCTCTTTGGTTTTAAACATTATATTTTTAGAGTAACACACAAGTTCCATGTTAAGGCATGGCAATACTTGAATATAAGGTCTACCTATTTGCTAAGAATTTTGATGATGAAAGAATAGCCCAAAGAGAGAGCCAGTTTTTAAAAGGGCAGCTTCTTAAGAAGAGCTAAGCACATCAAGAAAGAAAAATTAAGATTTTAACTTCCATAACACTTGGCAGCATTTAATTTTCCTTTTCTCTGTGCAACATATTTTTTAAGTTACTAAATTAATTAATTTTCCTTTAACCCATAGGCATCGACTTTTCCGTGAGCATTGTGTTTGTGTACAAGGAAATTATATAAAGGATTTAAATATCCTTGGTAGAGATCTTTCAAAAACGATCATAATTGACAATTCACCACAAGCCTTTGCCTATCAGGTAAGCATTTTTGTGATAGTCACACTTTTTTTAGAATTTGTAAAAACCTTCTCTGAAAATGAAAACATAAACTTTTAATTTAACTAGGTAAATTAAGAAAATGCTAGGTGTAAAAAAAAAAAAGTACCTAACTCATTTGTAATAAATTCACCTCAAAATATGTAGGATACTTTTTTAATAGGAACATTTTAGGTGTTACTTGACCATTTCAAAAATAGTAAAATTTTAAAAAGTAAAATAATGTAAGTGAAAAGAATTTCTGTGCGGCAAACGTTCTTCAGAAAACTCAGAATACTTCACCATACTCACAACATTTCCTTTGTATTTTGATTATTTTTAATTATAAGAAGGGCTTTAACACTTTTACTCAATCAATTACCTCTTCTAGAAATTCAGAAAAATCCAGTCTGTTAGGATTATTCACAAAATATACCCTTTCAGAACTAGTAGAAGAAAAATCCGGTCTGTTAGGATTATTCACAAAATATACCCTTTCAGAACTAGTAGAAGAATTATGAGCAAACAAATTGCTGGTTGAGGTGAAGTGTGTACAACTATCATACTTCTGTGTACTAGAGGTGTTCAATATACATTCCATGATCCAGATTTAGTCCAAAAATATGCTCTATATATAATCCAGTCTCCATAATTGTATAGACATGAGGGAAGTGGAGATTAATCTCAGGAGTCCCTCTACATTAGAGAATAGAACTGGTGTTGAAAACAGTAGTCTGCCTACTAGTGATACAGTTTTGTTGTCTATAAATTCAGCACTAGTTCAGGGAAATCCACTGCTCACAACTGATGTCATCAGCACGATTCAATTTCATATTGTAAACTGGGCTTCTGAACCAAGATCCTAATCCAGAACCCACTGAAGTCAGTTGAAGGAAAGGACTTTTTCTGATGTCAGTGAGTACAGTACAGGTCCTGATTTTGCTCCTGAGACTTTTCCTGGATTTGGCGGGCAACGAAGATCATGTTGGTTGTCCCACAGGATGATCTAAAACCGCACTGAAATTCCAGCAATATTTCCTCAGCAAGGGGAAATAATCGATTTAAGAGGATACGGGCAAGGATTTTCCCAGCTGTAGATAGCAAAGCAATGCCTCTATAGTTTCCACACTTTGACCTCCTTTCTTAAAAATTGTAACAATGTTAACGTTTCTCAAGTCTTCTGGAATCTTCTTCTTATACCAGATATGAAGAAAAAGTTTGTGGAGCTTCCTTACCAGTTCTTCACCTCCAACTTGGAGACTTCAGCTGGTATGCCATCAGGCCCTGCTGCCTTGTTGTTCTTAGTTTGCATAATGTCTTGTGTTACTTCTTCAAGGGGCGGGGGGTGTCAGCAAGAGATTCTTTTTCATGTTGAGGTATAGATTCAATAGTAGCACCAGGGACAGTTGACTCACAGTTCAGGAGTAACTCAAAATGCTCCTTCCATCTGGCTTCGATGGCTTTGCTATCCTTACAATACGTTGACCTGTCTTTGGCTTGGAGTGGTGTGGGTCCATGGGATCATGGACCGTAAATGGCCCTTCTTGCCTGAAAAAAACCCTCCTCATGTCATGTTTATCAGCATAAAGCTCAATCTCCTTGTCCTTTTTGGACACCACTTATTTCTGATGTCACGGATTTTCCTTTGGGCTTCAGCCTTGAGTTGCTTGTATGATGTTTTCTTCTGCTGGTGTGATGTCGTTTTGCCACATGCGATGAGCTTTTCTTTTTTGGTCGAGCAGGCCCTGAAGCTATAGGGCTGTTAGGTTAGGTGCCACCACCTTATGTGCAGGTTCCAGTCATTCATGTCATGGAGCCAGCATGGAGGAGCATGATCTGTGATCAAGGAGAAGGGGCTGCCCACTTAATCGCTAATGCCTCCTTTTCAGTAATTGAGTGAGCCTTTTCTTGATGGAATAGCTTCTTGCTCAGATTTAGCTCAGATTTGCCAAAGTCAACATCTGAGGTGCCTGCATGTAGTATGAATGCCTGGGAAAAGTTGGGGCTGATGGGTTTCAGCTACGGAGCCCTGCGGTCCCCCTGAAAGGGCTTGCAGACCTCCAGTTGAGAACCGCTGTCATAGCATATTGATGATGAGGGCTGATGATTTTATTCGTAAACATCTGGAAAACATCTGTTGCGGCTCCATGAAGTTCTGAAATGCTTAAAGGGGTTGAGAAAGAAGTTTTCTCTTGTGAGAATGGAAATAAAGAGATCTGTCAGTAATTCTTCATCAGTTTATTAGTGTTCAGGTACTTCACTGGTCCCAGTCACTGTAATAAATTGTCTACCCGTAATATCAGATAGGCACCAAATTTTGAGATGGAGTTACCTTTCCTGAAATTGATGCAAAACCGAACTGTCCGGTTTGGGAATCACAGCTATGGGGTTCCGCCATTCACTTTTTGACCCCCTGATTATCCCCACCTGCATCATGACTTCTCAGACTGTACACTACAGCCTCCATGGTAAGGGCCTGGGGTTCCCCCTGAGACATTAGCCCGAGATGGTCTCTAGGGTAGTGTTGGATTAACTGTGTTCTCCCAGGGAGGAGTAAAATACAGCAGCAAAGACATTGGTCAATTGGAAGAGTTGCCTCCTCTTTACAGCGCTAAGTCCCTGACCCGCAAGAGTTGGTGTCGGGTTTTGGCCACTGGGTGTTTGGAGTCCTAGTTCAGGCTCCGTAGGGAAGGGAGTTATCAGCAGGTTTTCCTTGCGTCTTCTAAGGTTTAAGAAGATTCACATGGTAAATTTTGGTTTCCTTCCTTCTGCCTGTCATTTTTATCTCATCATCCAATGGCCCTACCTGATTAATAACTTCAAATGGACCCTGCCACTGGGCATTAACTGACTCAGCCAAAGGAAGCAGTAAAAGGACCTGGTCACCCAGGTAAAAGACGCATAGTCATGCCCCTCCATTATCATTTTGCACCTGCACTTACTCGACCTTTCTTAAATGTCCTCTGGTGAACACTCCTCGTCTCTGAGTCATTCCCTTAGTTGTATGATGCACTGAATCATACTTAAAGCACCTACGTCTTGTTCCTCCCCGCCCTCTCAGAGCAAGTCCAAAATTCCCTGCGGCTGGTGGTCATAAAATAACTTGAAGGGAGAGAACCCTGTAAAGGCCTGCAGGACCTCCCTTATGGTAAAAAGGAACGGTTGGACTAGCCAGTCCTAGTGCTTGGGGTCATAACTAACAAAGCGTTTCAATGTTCCCTTTGGAGTTTTATTAAATTGCTCACGTAGGCTGTCTGGCTGTGGGTGGTACACACAGGTTTTTAGGGACTTGAGCTTCAGGAAGGCTGAAGTTAGTCCCTTTATCTGTTAGTATTTCTTGGGAAAATCCTATGCATGGGGGGAGGGATAGCTCAGTGGTCTGAGCATTGGCCTGCTAAACCCAGGATTGTGAGTTCAATCCTTGAGGGGGCCACTTAGGGATCTGGGGCAAAAATCAGTACTTGGTCCTGCTAGTGAAGACAGGGGGCTGGACTGGATGACCTTTCGGGGTCCCTTCCAGTTCTATGAGATAGGGATATCTCCATATATTATTATTTATTTATTTTTAGCTTTGAGAGTTCTGGGGTTATAGCCGTAGTTTTCACTGAGTGAAGGGGAACAGCCTCTGGGTTCCTGGTTGCTTAGTCAACAGTTACTAATATGTACTGGTGTTTGGATGCAGTTATTTCCAGGGGCCTCTCTGCCTTTTGCATGGTAATATTCTTATAAATTGTCCGTTGACAATCAACATGGGCAGTGGGTTTCCTCACAAATACCCAAATGGTTCAAAATGCACTATATCATCAGTGGTCTTTTCTGGAGATATTCAGCATAAAAATTAACATACCTGTGATTTTACTTTAGCTTTCAAATGGAATTCCTATAGAGAGCTGGTTCATGGATAAAAATGACAATGAACTCCTAAAATTAATTCCTTTTCTGGAGAAACTTGTAGAGCTGGTGAGTAATGTATTCATCTCTTTTCATATACACTCTAGGTAGTTTCAAAATTGACTAAGTGATTTAGGAGCCCACATCACTTGGAAACTTCTGAAAATGTTACTTAGGAACTTTCCAAAACTCTGTCTTGTCCGGACAATAATCCAAAATATGTATAGGGAGTACTTATTATTTCATTAGTAAAAAGCAGAATGTATTGGGTTGAGTACATGGTTAGAAGATTAGTACCAGCTCTGACACTACCTATGGGACCTTCTGTTAAGTGACTTGCCTACCTGCACATCTGTTTCCTCATTTGTAAAACTGAGATACTACTTATCTCACCGGGTTTTTGTGAATGTTAATTAGTTAATGTTGTAAAGCTCTTTGAAAATACAAAGCACTGTAAATGGTGTTGTATTATTATGTATACTAACATAATTTAAAAACGTAACTCTTGAAATCTGAAGTATAGATACATTTATTATTTTAAAAACTGTAATTTTATTTTTTTCTACAGAATGAAGATGTCCGACCTCACATCAGAGACAGATTTCGCTTGCATGACTTGCTACCCCCAGATTAAACACCAAGCCTTTTATCAAATTACTGAAGGGGGAGAAAATGCAGGACCCTTTTGGACTAAAACAAAAACATTGCCATTACTGTTGAAATTTTGCATTTTTGTACCCCGTCTTGCTTTTCTTATCTTTGGTGCCCAACAGTAATCAAGGGTTACAGAAAGAGACTTTCTATATCTCAGATTGAATACATACAGTACAATACAGTAGGTAGGCGAGAACAGAAAAGTCTTTAGAACTAGTGCAACTCCAATGAAATTTTTTTATGTACAGGACATCTGCAGTTTATAAAGAATTCTGTTTCTGCCACCAGCAGTTTGACCTGTAGAAACACAGGATTTTATGATATAACAGAGATTGAAAATGGACTCTTATTTTCTCTCTGTTTGGTGCTCTAAGTGGGTTTGTAGCCACTTTTCTGTTACTTTAAGATTCTCATTTCAACAGGAATGGCCAGTAAAAGTTGTTTTATTTTTCCTGTTAAGGTTTATAACCTTTTTACATTTTTGACCTGTATTAGCTTAGAATTTCATTATGCATTCCTTTTAGTTGAGGCGCTTCATAGTTTTTCTGGAAATAGCCAAATTTTATTAGTTTTTTATTATACAATTGAATGGCCGTTTTCCTGCTTTGTCTGCCTGCATACTGTATATTTGTTTAAAAATATTCTCTAGTTTTAGTCCATGTAAGTTTCATTTAGAAATACCTGCATTTATATTTTGTTTCTGTAATATTCTACTGTAGTTGAAATCTTTTCAAAAATCAAGAGACTGGCTAGATAAGAATATAAGAATTACTAATATTCAGAATATTTAAACCATTGTGATGGCATGTACTCTGGACAGACAATATCTTGCAGTGGCACGCTCAATTGATGGACAAGGAATACCTCAGATTATACTGTGCATACAAATCTTTAAGGAGAATTATTTGGTAACCTGTTGGGTTTGATGCAAATCAATTACTGCTGCCTTCGGATTCCTCCAAGAATGAAGTATTCTGCACAGTGGCTCAGTATTTTAAGATGTTTTGCATGGGCTGGTGGTACCTCCTGTTATGCTGTTTGTTACAATCAGTTTTAAACTTTGTGTAACAGTGAAGGTACCTAATAGTAACTATGCATAATCCTGTGATACAGTACACTCCCATGCCACCAATGCAGTTAATATGCTATCATAGTGGTTTTCTATGCTATATGGAAATAGTCTTCAAGCCTTGGTTCTCTAATGCAGCTACCACAAGAGGTTGATATTTTTATAATGGTGTGTAATCTCCTTTTCAGGAGGCTTTTTATGGAAGGTATAATTTGTAAAAGTTAGGATGCTTTGCCTCTCGACTGCATTAACATGCCACAGGCTTGGACTGTTTTTGTGTAAAGGATGTCACAGAACGGCACTTTTTCTAAAGAGAAGTTTGATATTTTGTATGCTTGTTAAGAAAGTACAGTATTGGAAATTAAAGGTGGACAACTGATAATTGAGAAGTATGTCAATTAATTTTTTATGTATATTACCTGTTTACTTGTACAATTTTATTGTACAAATTACATGCAGCTTCATTTTCAAATGAGTCCTTAAAATAAGGAAAATCTTTTTAGGAAAACATTTAATTTTGTATTTTTGATTTTAAAAGGCATGAGTTATGTCAACTTTTTCCAGTGTATTAATGAAGATTTTAACTTTTCATCAGGTTGAGTGTTTTCTTACTATATTATCTGTTGTGTATGTAGCTAGCACATTGTGTCAATGAACTGTTAAAAAAATTAGCATGTAGAGCAAGCCTGTTTTGTGGAAAATCCTTATTCATTAAAACAAAAAAGTCATCATGGCAGATTTTCTGCAAAAAAAGTGAAAAGCATTTGCAATTCAGAATACTGATTTTTTTTTTTTTTTTTTTTTTTTTTTTAAAAG